TATCAACGTCAATATTCAACAATTAAGTCAACTAGTTGCAATAGGTAGATCTGTGTTTATTCTCATAAAATCAATGTATTATTGTTGATTGGCCATTCCTTTTTTCTGTCTTAAAATCTAAAATGAAGTGAACTAAGTTAATTAAAATTCAAACTGATTTTTTTTTTTTTTTATATACTTATTTTTGCAATTGATTGACTCAATTGATAGTTTTAATTTTTAAATAAATTATTATTTACTATTACCATTGATTTTATAATATATTATACTTTATTATACTATATTATAAAATCAATGCTATTACCAATATGATAATTACATAATTATTTATTATACATCATTTAATAGAGTGGCTCGGCGTGGAGCAGTGGCTGAAGTCAATTACAATTGAGAGTAAGCAACGGCCGCTGCCACTAGTACTTGGATGGGTGACCACGCAGGTTCGTAGCGTGCAAAACCTTACCACACATACAAGCGTTCCAACTAACCGTTTCAACCTTAAAGTACCAGCTCTACTGACTAATGACCTTAATCAGCAAAGCCTTAAAAAGAAAAAAAAGAAAAATAATATAAGAGAATTAATGCAAATTATTCTTGGCCAAATCTATTGTTGGCAGATTTGAACCATGTGTAAAGAAAATTAAAATCAAATGTTCTATACTATTTAAATAAGAAATATAATTGAATAGATTTGATAAACAAACAGAATTATAGACTATGTAGCAAAATTTTGATTATTGAATATCAGAAGTTTGTATAATATTATGTTGACAAATCAAAAAGATAACATAGTTATACTGTATATTATATTTTTGACTATTTACTTATAATTCATTATTCAACTGCAATAAGATTTGAAATAAGTGATTTGAATTTCTCAAAATATTTATTTATTAGAATAGGTATTAACAACAAACGGCTATTAAAAATAAACCATGTTCTATAACTTTTTCAACTTAGTACTTACATTAAATTTTTTAATCTATCTAAAAGGTTAGGGTTTGATTGGTGGTAATCCAACTTGTAACTAGTGGATAAAGAGCTATCTTATTTATTTTCCGAAATATGAACATTTTGATTTAAATCATTAGGCTGTATCCTCCAATGCTTCATCTAAATATTTTTTGAACTTGCACACTGAATCACAGTTTAAACAAAAAACAATTAATTTTTGATATTTCAAAGATGTGCTTGTAAAATAAATTTAAGTTTTTCTGAGAAGGTACCTTTTTAATAATAAATCCATATTATCCAATGAATAATCTGTATTGATCATATTCTGCACATCTATTCTATTCCTGAGCAACACAAAAGTGATCAAATACCATTTGTTACTGTAACATTAACATCAAAATATATTATACATTTATGTGTTATAATCATAGACGTATAATATATCATATATATATATATTATACGTCTATGGTTATAATGTTTACAAATATTAAGTAGGTAGGTAGATATGTATTTATTTACAAATGTTTGAAATCATATTATATGATCTAAGGTTGTAGCAATAGTGAATATACCATCACGGAATCATAGACTAATGAGGTTTTCCAATAAGACTTGATAAAACCATCTTGTAATTATCTGTTACCTACCTAGTACCTACCTATTTAATTATTATTATTTATCATTTAAAAGAAATTAGACATTAAGCTATTTAGGCCTGTGTAGCATATGTGTTATGTGCATATTGAACATTAGTTTAATTAAATACCGTAAATGATCATTTAGTATTTTCAGTATTTTGTTTAATGTTAATACTTAATAACTGTAACAATGAATAAGTAATATGTTATAACTCATAGGTATTATCCATTAATCATTATAATTCATATTATTGAATACCAACGCGATATAAATTATAATTAATCACTAATCAGTAAATCCCAATACTAATCAGCTCCGTAGCTCCGTTATCTTACGTGGAGATAAAATTATTTTGGACACGGACTAAGATATACAGGACTGGACACGACAAGGTTGGAGGGTGTGGGGGGGTTGACTACGAAATGTTTTACAACAGGCAGTGTTCGGGGGGATATTTTCCTTTTAGCATTACTAGCGCCGTCCTAGTGGATACTTATGGAACTAGAACACATCATACAAATTTCTAGTTCCATAAGTATCCACTAAGACGGCGCTAGTAATGCTAAAAGGAAAATATCCCCCCGAACTCCGCCTGTTGTAAAACATTTCGTAACCACAATATTCATCTCGTGTCCAGTCCTGTATATCTTAGGGCCCGTTTTACAATCATAGTTTAAACCTCGGTTACGCTTGAACCACTGATTTTACCGGCCGAATTCGGTGGTTTAACCGGAGTTCAACTATTGTAATACGGGTCCGTGATTTTGGAACAGTTATTTTTTGGAACAAATTTACTTTGGAATAACAATTTCTCGGAATAAAAGTATATTGGAACAACTTTATTTTGGAACAATAAATCTTTGAAATAAATCTACATTGGAACAAAATAATATGTCCTCAAAAGTAATATTGGAACAAATATTTTATGAAACAAAAGTCCTCAAAAGTGTGATACCATCATTGGAATAAATGTTTTATGGAACAAAAGGTAGTGACCCACTATAAACAACGATCAGCTGTTACCACCATATTAATATTTGTAATCTTTGTATACCTCATTATTGGTATATCTTGGTCCATGGTATTGGCTTAGATCATATTATACTATGGATGGAGCATTGACATAATAAATGGGATGTCAATGGGATGGAGCCACAGCGTATTATAGCAATACAAAAAGTTGAAGCCGATATTAGCGACGAGTCACCGAATTAGGTGTTCGATATGCGCTTGCGCAACGCAACCTCTCGCATATTTATCAGCTGGTGTCTGGTGATTATAATATTGAAATATTGAAATCATAGTGTTATTAAATAATTAAATATTTCAATAATAAATTATGAGTAAGAAAGTGAATAATTATAATGCGTGTATATTTTGCTTACGGTCCATTAAGTTGAATCCAGGTTTATCTTTACATAAGTAAGTAAATTAGTAAAAAAAGGTGGATTATATTGTGAATAAAGTAATTAATTTTAGTTTTAGGCATTAGTGTTTACTATAGTTGGTTAAATTCATTTTTCCCAAAAAAATTACATTTTGAAATGTCATTACATGTATATAAAAGTATAACAATTTACTCTATAAGTTTCACAAACCATCAAATAATATTTTTAAATTATAACAAAAAAACTTAAATCGTTATTCTTGGTTTTAATACCTATGTAATTTCGTCCAAATTTGAATTTAAAATGTCTGTAAAAAATAAATGTGTTCATATATTTTTTAAATTTTTCGGTTACAGTATGAATTATTTATGAGAATCTTTGTTTTAAATTTTCAACACTTAATTATAAAAACCGAACATTTTATAATTTTTTAATTACAATGATTGATAAATTTTGCCTAAAAATTTCCGTTTTTTCCTTAATTTTTAATCTGTTTTTCACGGAACATTGAAAATCTACTGGAACCCCCCCCCCCCCCAAGTACCAAATAGATTCACTTTCCTTTCAGAAAAGGTACTATTTAAGAAAATCTAAGCATTTTTACTTTCCTAAAACGTGATGACACACAAAAAAAAATAAAAAATAAAAAAAAAACACATCAATGTAAAACCAATACATTAATCGCTCCGCTCAGAATCTAAAATAAGTTTGAGTGTTAAGTAATTATGATGTTTTAAAAATTTTTAGTTTTCCTAAAGACCAAGCTTTACGGCTAAAATGGATGGAGGCCTGTGGATTTAGTGAATCAGACATTTATCCTAAGCGTAAACTATGTTCAGTTCATTTTGAAAAAAATTGCTATACTGGATTAAATAAAAATGTTCTGAAGCGTGGCTCAATTCCTACTTTGCATATTAAAAAGTTAGTTAAATTATTAGGTATTGTTTGTATTAATATATTATGTATTAAGTAACTCATATTCTACTATAACCACTTGTACCTAATTGTTTTTTTGTATATTAAAAATGTTGTCTAGAAAGTGTAATGAAACAGTAAATGCTCCTTCCACACCTAGGGTTCATGATTTAATTCCAGTACAACCTACCTCTTCCATTGACAATTCAGCAGGTAATACAAATACTATGTAGTTATTTAATTTAATTTCTGCATAATGCTTATGGTAACAATGTATTTTTTTAAATTTCCTATTTAAATCACCTATGGCCTTGTTTAAATGTAGAGATAGCCTATTGTAAAATATCTTTCTCTTATGATTATCTTTATTCTTTTAAGTTTATTTTATTTTATTTCAATATAAATCACTAATTTAAATCAATTTTCTTATAATTTTAGAAATTCAAAAACGCAAACTCGACTTGAGTCCAGATAAAATTATGTCTGAGGAGCCATCATCACCAATTTTGATTACTAGTAATACTGAAGGTAACTAATAAATGTTACTAACTTCTTTCTTTCTCAATTAATTATATATATTTGTTATTTAGTAATTGATACACCTACTCATAAAAAAAGAAAATGCTTTGTTGGTGGTATTAAAACACCTGACCTTGCCACCCCAAGGAGAGCTAAAAGGCATTTCAACAGGGCTAAGCTTCAGGTCATGGTTCAAAGAAATAAAATTAAAGTTCTAAATCAAACCATTAGACGGCAAAAAAATAAATTGTCATCTTTAGAAGCGCTTTTAAAGCATTTAAAATCAACAAACCTTCTCACTGAAGCAGCTCATGATTCGATATTGGTATAAAAGTACTCATTAATTGTGATGGCCAATATATTAAATGGGATAACATAGTTCAATTACATGAAATTCAAGAGAGCAAAGGATTGCATGCTGCAAATAAACTAAGAAAACCACATATTAAATACTATGATAATAAAATGAATGTTCGTTTGGCAGCTCAAACCCTAAGCTCAAGTGTGAGCTCAAGTTTATTATTTTGTGAAGAGCTAGGGTTAATGAAAAATGTAAAAGCAATCGCAGAGTTTTGTCAATAAATGAATAATTTCTTTGATTTATTAAACTGTCGAAACAAATTGTGCAAAGGCGATTATGCTTTTCCAATAAATGAAGAAACTGTTTTTAAAGCTAAACAATTTCTTGAACAATTCAAATTATATATTGAGGGTCTAAAATTTGAACCATTAACAACAAATTCAGAAGGAGAACTGGTATTAAAATGCCAAAGAAAAATTGGGTTTTTAGGTCTCATCATATGTCTTACTCAGGGGCGCCATTTGGGGGGGGGGGCAGGGTGGGCACTCGCACACCCTGTAATTTTGGTGTCCGCAATTGGCCTAGGCCTCATTAATACTATGGCCTTCAGTTTGCTTATCTTTAATTGTGCATGCACCGCAGCTATTCACTGATAATCATAAATTATATTATAATATTATTGTGTTCTTCAATTTGATAATTGATAAATTGATATCGGTATCACTTCATCCACTGGCACACACAAATATGTGTAATTGGTAAATGGTTACTGATAAACAACAGACATAATAATACGCATCTATTCTATCTAGAAATATCTTTACTAAAGTCCTGATTTTTTCAATCCAAAGTGTTCCTATCTTCATTCATTTATAAACCACTATAATTATTTTAAAATAAATATATCCAAAATGTTAACAGAATTTCCATCTGCCAAATCATTGCTTCAAAGCAACACAATTATTCAAATAAATTTTGATTCTATTGTATCGTCTTTATCACAACTTCCAGCAGCCTTTTCTGAAACTTTAAAAATAATTTCTATACTAAAGATTCTTCCAATTACCTACTACTGCTTCAAATGAACGATCCTTTTCATCCCTTAAAAATGTTAAAACTTTCTTACGTACTACAATGGGAGATAACAGACTAAGTGATCTCATGGTCTTAAATTTAGAGAAAGAAGAAGCTAAGTGCGTAGATTTATATAAAGCTGTAGATGCATTTTCAAATATGAAGCAACGGAGATACCCGCTTAAATAATAATCTATGCTGTTATGCCTTTATAATTATTATTACCTATGTTATTATTTTATATTAATTATATTATTAATGTAAACTATTAAAGTATAAAAGTCGTTATAATAATAAACTATTATATTTCAAGTTGTTTATTATTTCTATTGCATTGCACGCTTTGCTTTACTTTATGCTTAAGTCATAAACTCAGCTTTGAATAATTAATTTGTATTTTGTTTGATATCCTATTTGAATATTTTATATTTAGTTTATTAATGTATGTGTTATCTATGAAAATATGTTTTTATTGAGTATGTTTTTGATACTAAAAATTCTGTAATGAAAAACTGAAAACACTAGAAACGTTTTTTTAACGATTGGCCTGGAGGTGGTTAAAAATTGGCCTCTTTAATTGTTTGCACACCTTAAAAAAAAACTGAAATGGCGCCCCTGGTCTTACTACCTAATACAATAAATTTATTTGAAGAATTACAAAAGGAAAGAATGTCATTTTTATTGACTTATAAGCTTAGCCAAGATCATATTCAGATATTTTTTAGTGCTATGAAAAGCAGAGGTGGATTCAATAACAACCCGAATGTGATACAATTCAGATCCGCTTACAAGCGTTTGTTGGTTCGACATAATATAGAAGGTTCAGTTTATGCTAATTGTTCGCCACTTGATACTTCTAATATACTTTATGTTAGTGCAAGCAAAAGGACAGACGCAGACGCTATTTACACTGAAATCGACGTTGAGGAGCAAATTTTATTTGATGAATTTGATCATGGTTATAATTGTTACCATATGCCTGAGCTAGAAGAATATGTGGTGGATGTCGTACACTACACAAGTGGCTTCATTGTACGAAAGATCCAAAAAAATAAGGCACTTTGTAAGACATGTGATTCATTTCTAACAGTTGATGATAATAACAATCAAAATTCTTCAAAGTTGTTTCAGCTAAAAAATAGAGGGAAATTAATAAACGTATCTTCCGATGTTCACAAAACATGTTTAGTGACAGAATATATAATTAGAATATGTAATGAAGATTTATTGAGGAAAAAAAATATTAAATTAATATTATCTTTAAAAGCATTGAATGAATTGAGCTCTGACAACACCATATTCAATTCAAAAGAAATAAAAGAGCACATATTACAACAAGATCTGTTAGATAATCACCGTAGCCAGCTACTAAAATTAATAGTTGATTGTTATATTACCCTGAGACTCCACCACTTTGCGAAATCACATACCTACTTTTGCAATTAGTGGTCGTAACATAAGGCATAACTATACAAAACAAATTTTATTCCATAACCAATAAATTTTCTAATTGTTGATATTGTAATCACAATTTTGTTTTTATTTGTTATTAATTATAATAATAATAATGATGAAAATGTTATTAATCAATGATTCAGATAAATAATATTATGACAAACAATTCAATGACTACCATGTTTTAACAATTATATATTTTAAAAAATAAATGGTATAATAGCCAATAGGTACCTACTATGATAATATAATAATTACTAATTAGTAAAATAACAAAATAAAATAAGTATTAACTTTTAAGCGAAAATATTAGCTACGAACTAAGAAGTAAGATATAAAATAATAAATTTACCGTAGCACATGGCTTAAATATTTAAGCCATGCCGTAGCCGATAGGTAATGAATTAATGATTATTATTATTATCTGTGGTGATAGTAATCTATGGATAATTATGCGACGAGTTGTTTCGCGCATGCGCATATCGATCACCTAATTCGGTGACCCATCCCTAATATCGGCTTCAAAATAATATGCAGTGGCTCCATCCATAGTATATGATCTAAGGGTATTGGTTAACAAATAACACGAGAATTTTTAAATTTGTAGAGAATGGATTAGAAGTTAGTAACATTTTTGGATAGAACTGGTAATCTGTGGTAGTGGTGCCGTGATGGTACTGATTCAAATTCAGAGTTCACGAAGATTAAAGATGTTACTGTTAGCGGTTAGGGCTGTTCTTACAATTTCCTGCTTAAAGGCCAAACTTAACAATTGTAAGACCGACTCTTAATTCTTAAACATTTTAAACAAGTGTTAATATCGAATAGGTATGTATTTTTGAATAATAATACAAATATTGATTACACCGCAGCAGCTGCTGTATAAACCATGAATTAAAATATTCATATATTAATTCTAGATATAAATTATAGTTTACTATACCATAATATACAACTTATGGTGTGTCATAGACCTTAGTTTTATTTTTATTCAATACTAGTGTCTAGTATACTACTTTCTGATCGTGATATTATCTAACTTATTATCTACTTGTTATCTAGGTACTTTTTTAGAAATACCTACCTACTATAAAATACCAAAATAATTATATAAGCTCATAATAATATTACTAATATTACCTATATATTATAACATATATTTGTGTATTCTAATAGTTAAATAGTTACAACTATAGATGGTAGGTACTAGCAGTGGAGTACCCCCCCCCCACCCCACCCACTAACAATTAAGTATATAGCAATGCTACTGGGTACTAGGTAGACCTAACTATAAATTGGCAAATGCCAAATACTAACCAACATATTGTTATTATAAAAAAAATCTGATTCAAAATATGTAAATTATTTTAAGTTAGAAATTCATAAAAATGTTTCTATTGAAATCTAAGATTTGAAAATGTAACACGAGATTACTCATAAGTTTGTCTACCTTTACCAAAAAAAAAAATATCTCCTGGAAAGTCAAATGAAATGATGAGTGTTTATGAGATACTTGAAACTTCTAAAGTAAGTATAATATTAGTACCTACATACAAGTATGATAATAGACAAATAATAATAATTGAATTTAACCGGCTACCGTATTAATAATAACAATATAAATAATAAATATAATAGAATATCCTTGGGTTGACAAACCGTCTCTGTTCGAATTCGTTTATACGATTATACGTATAAGCTTTAGGTTACTAAGTTATGTACTTACCTGTTACCTACCTAAAAGTTTTAACGCACCTACAAATAAAATCATAAATTATCAATCGATTAAAAAATAATGAAAATATTTGTTTAGTTTAAGTATATTTTAATATGTGTTTAACAATATATTATTATGTATATAGTATATACCTATATGGCTATATGTTAGTATACTTAATGGATTTAAATTATTAATAAATATAAAACAGAATTATTACAAAATATAAAAGACGAAACAGTTTAACCAAAAAATAATTATTGCTAATAAATGTATAAATTATAAAACTTAATGTATTTTCAGAAACGCCAATAAACCCTAGAAGTTGAGGCGTATTTACAAATAAAAAAAAAAACTTATGCTAATGCTAATTAGTATAATTGCTATTAATACAATAACACTTATGTATAGTTATGTATATTGATTAAATGTATATGTATATTAACAAACATTATAATATATGTATATTTACAAACCACAAATGCAGAGGTATATTATAGTGACTAAAGTGAGTTGTGGCAACTAGTATAATAGTAATATATACGTGTAATCCAGCAATGTTTATATATTAATTTATTTTTCAATCTTTATAGGAATAACGCCACATAGAAAGATGACAGAAAAACCTCCAGTCGTAGGCTGCTTCGGCTTTTCGAATCATTAGATCAGGATTCATACTTAGTGGAAGAGTGGACACAAAAAGATCGACCGCTTCTGCTGAATACCCAAAGCCCGCCAATACGTCTACTTTGCATAGGGTTTTCAGTCCATCCAATCGACATTGTTCATTAAACGTGCTCCCTACGTACTCTAAACGAGCCACAGCCGTCTGGAAGCACTCCTGCCGGTCCTCCCACAATTCTCTGGTCACGCCGTCCCAACGACTATTGTATTCTTCGTCTGTCATCGACGTTTCAGTGATTATTTTTTTCCCGTTAATTCTGGTGGTTTTAGGTACTTCCAATGTGTTTTGATTTGTCGTAATCTGATGCCATGACTGGTAGATCGGTATCTGATAAACTTTTCCTAATCTGGCCCGAAAATTTCCGATTTTTGTTCATGTTTAAAACCTCAGTGTCCATTTTAAGTATTTTACCATCGATGGTTGTGTTCGATGTACATTGGTAATTATTAGAGCCCGGATTTATATGCATTTGCATGTTCGTACTAAGTGTATGCACGTCTATGGGGGTTTAAAATGTCCACGTTTCATACCACACCGATTTTAAACACCAAATTTTATATTGCATATTTTGCATATTTCGAGGGTTTTTGCATATTTGTTCATAAATGCATATGACATGCATATTTAATAGGTTTTTAATAAATAAATAATTATATTTTACAATAAATTTTGGAATTACCTCACTGTATGAGATCGGAGCATGAATAGATATGATAGGTATTAACAAACATACGTAGTACGTACTACGTACACACTCGCGTCCCGAATAAAGTCGCTAATAATAATCTAATAGTCGGAAATTCCCGGCCGACAGAAATATGTCGACCGGTGATAATAACCACCACCCGGCACGACGACAATTAATTAATACGCAGTCATCGACCATCTTCGTAGTTTCGTACGTCAACGTGTTTGTCCGCTGTAGTGCTTGTTTATCCCGTTTTAAAAACAAAGACAAAATGCCAAAAACTAAATCTAATTTGGGTTCATCCATAACTCGATGGATTGAGCCTTATAATCGCGACAAAACTGTGTTTACCACTAGTGGATTAGTAATTTATTGTCAAGTTTGTGACCGGCAAGTGCGTTGTAACAAAAAATTTCAAATAACACAACATGTAACTACCGAGTTTCATTTGAAATGTTTGAAAAAAAGTTCTAACAATAGTAAACAAATGTTGATGGGAGATGAAATCAAACCAAAAACATCAAGTTTTAATGAAGATCTGTGTTTGAGCCTCATAGCAGCAAATATACCTTGGTTTAAGCTACAAAATCCAGTCTTCCACGATTTTTTACAAAATTATACAAAAAAACACATTCCTGATGAAAGCACTCTACGAAAATCTTTCTTACATCCGTGTTATGTAAGTACAATTGAAAAAATTAGAGAAAAAATTGGAGACTCGTATATATATTTAGTCGTTGATGAAACTACAGATATCAACGGTAGTTATATTGCAAACCTTTTGGTTGGTGTGTTAAATGAACAAAGTCCTAGTAAACCATTTTTAATTGCATGCAAAAAATTAGACAAAACTAATCATTCGACAATTTCTCGCTTCGTAAATGACAGCCTGAGAATATTGTGGCCTCATGGTGGGAATGATGAAAAAGTATTACTTTTATGTTCCGATGCAGCACCATATATGATCAAAGCTGGTAAAACATTAAACGTATTTTTTCCCAATATGATACATATTTCATGTCTTGCTCACATGATCCAGCGTCTAGCAGAAAAAGTTAGAGAAATGTACCCCAATGTAAATACTTTGGTTAGTAATTTAAAAAAAGTATTTCTTAAAGCACCTCAGAGAGTAGATGTATACAAAGAAATAATGCCCAGTGTGCCTTTGCCGCCAGAACCAGTGTTAACCAGATGGGGGACATGGATTAAAGCAGCTAATTTTTGCGCAGACCATTTTGATAATCTCAAAATAATTTTACAGAAATTAGAAGATAAAAATGTTGTTAGTATAAAAAAATGTATTAATATGCTAAGTTTGGAGTCTGTTAAAAATGACCTTACATTTATTCAATCTCATTTTTTTATACTAGTGAAAAGTATAAAAAATTTGGAACGTTCTAGTTTAACTTTGTGTGATTCTATTCAAATAGTAAATAATGTTATTTTGGCGATGGAAAAAGTACCAGGACAACAGGGAAAAATAATTCAAGAAAAATTGTTATATTTAATTGAAAAAAATGTTGGATTCCAAACCGCGAAGCAGATAACAACAATTTTGTCAGGTAAAGAAAACAGTATTATGCCATCTAATTTAACTCCTTCTATGTGTTCATGTATGAAGTTTGCACCGATAACTTCGGTGGATGTAGAAAGGTCTTTTAGTACGTATAAGTCAATTCTAACTGAAAAAAGAACTTCCATGACATCAGAAAATATGGAAAAATATATTATTGTTCACTGTTATGAAAATTATTAAAAAGAACCTATTATAATATTTTAATTTTTAGTGTTGTTCTGACAAGTTTTAAAATTTATATTATTAATGTAAAATGTTTAAAATATTTAAATTTTCAAAAATGTTATATTAAAAGATTTGTATTTTTTTTTTAAGTTCTCCATTAGTTTTTTAAGAGTAACTTTAAATGATCTAAAATATTTATGTATGATTTTAGTTGTTTTTTTATTTGTATTCTCTTTTTTAAGTTTCCTAAATGTTTTCGATTGATTTAAATGATTTGAAATACAGAGCAGTGGATATAATCATTTTTTTTTGTTTTTGTTAACATTTTTAGAATTTTCTTTGGTGTAGTAGTGTGGTTTTTTTTTAAAAAAAAACACATTTTATAAAGTGTAACATAATGCATATAATTGCATATTTAGCCACTTTTTCTTTGCATATTTGCATCATATTTGACACTTTTTAAATGCATATAAATCCGGGCTCTAGTAATTATTCATTCGGATACTATCTATGCTATTTCGTTCTGTAGTCCGTTTAACTAATGTACGCATATCCATAGTACTTTTTGTTTTGTTGAGCAATTTCAAAAACTTATTTTTTTTTAGCTTCCCCATTTCACTGAAATTATCGTTTATTTCGACGAATTTGGAATTATTTTCATCATAGTCATCCGTCACTTTAAAATCGTGATAATTTATTTCAGAAAACCTATACTTAATCGGATCTTCCGAAAGATTACACATTTTAATTTTAGAAGACTTCCTTTGTCTAATATCTTCTAAACAATTCAATAAACTCTGCCACGTATGCAATTTGTGATTGATAAATTTTGTGTAATCATCCAAAACTTGGGTATCAAATTCATTCTGAGTTCCTCGAAAAGCGTTTTTAAAAAAGTATTTAAATTTATTTGACGATCCAAATTTAGTCGATTGCTCATTTATTTCTATATTTGAGAAAAATTTATCCTTCTCATTTAATGATTTAACAAGTTTTCGAACTTTTTGTTCTATTTCTTTTGCTTCGAAATCTAGTGAATATGTATTGCAATCATATATTTTACCACAGTTTACTTTATCACAATATTTATTTTCTTTGATATTTCCATTTTTAATATCTATATCTGGATTATATTTTTTAACTTTATCAACTGAGTCCAACCATTTTTTATATTTCCACAAGTCTTCTAAAGTGAATGATGTATAACCATCAAAAATTAATGGTTGTACTTTTTTAGATGGTTTGACATGTTTGCTCGTATTTTTGTAGAAAGAAAACGTTTTCAATTTTTTTTTAGTTCTTTTATTTACTCTGTTGTCAAGAATTATTGAACTATTTTCATTAGTGTTCTCATCTACATTAATATTTATAGCTTTAGAAAATTCTTGAATACCTGGGTCATCTTCGTATTTATTTATTAAAGAATTATCATTAATCTCAGAGCATTCTTTGTTTTGACCATTGTCTGAAATAATAATATTGTCAACAGTGGCTTTTGATTCAAATTTAATGACATTTCTGTGATAACTATCGGCAAATAACGACGACGGTGTTTGTAGCTCACTTACTGAATCAGACTGTAAACTATTGTTTACTTTGACTTGGGTTTCGTTTACTTCCCAAAATTCAAAACATAACTGTATAAGTTCTTTTTGATAATTCTCCCAACCATCTGTAGACAAAAGCTGTGAATTGTTTAATTTAACTTTATTATCTTTATCTGAACCATGCGGAATTAAACTACATGTAGTTGGTGTGTTATCCGTTATAATACTGTCAATTGGGGGGGGTTCACTGTGCGAAATAATCATTCTTGTACCGAAGTTATCCATACTTAAATTAAATTAAGATTTTATCAAGAAAATTGTCAAATAAATATCTTTGAATGGCATAATCGTATATTAAAACGTGTATCTATATTAAAATAATATATCATTATTGTATGGTGGAATTAATATTTTTTTAACCTACTTATTTTGTGCTATTGTGAATGATTTCAGTGTACTTTTTCTTCCTACTTGATAATTCTTTTTTCAATAAACTTTTTTCAATGTCTGCCTTTGAATAATCCGTAAAGTATACCCAGTTTTTGTCTATTTCCCAATTATTATAATCAGATTTACTGCACCTCTTTTTTTTCAATGTTTTGGTTAACTCATTTGACGTTTGTAGGTGTTCCTTATAATAACTTGTGTTTAATTTTAAGATTTTATTTTCTGGTGCAAATGATGTTTCAAATTGTTTGATTTTTTCATTTAAGTTATCTTTATTTGTATTATTATTATTATATAAGCCCTCGGGATCGTCAAGTTCAAGTTTATTTGTTATTTGTATTCTCTTTGATACTATATCTTTATTCAGATTATTAAATTTGTTGACAATTTCAGTATTACTACGAGGTTTGTCTACAATGTTTGGATGTGTTCTCTTTATTGGATTATCACTAAATGATTCAAATTTTTTGATTTTTTCGAGAAAATTGTGTTTTATATTGTTTGGTGGTATATTATCTGTTACTAATATTGATGATACATCAACATTATTTATTTTATTTTCATAATTTATCGAGTTTTCCAAAGAATTTTCTAAAATCAACCGTCTTCGAATTAATTGTTTGGTTAATTGTGGGTCCATTTCCAACTGTTGTAATTAATACAGTGTTTATTATGACAATGTTCCTGTAACATTATCTGAAACAGAATTAATATTAGTTCATATATTAATTATTATGCTAATTTGCTAAAAAGTAAATATATTGACGTACATCCTGTGTAGTTAGGTAAGTATATATAATATAATATGGTAAAGAAATATAAATAGAAAACTAAACCAATTCCCAATGATGAAAATTTTATACCTACTAAACAACACCTCACCGGTTCAGCCCTCCAGATGAATTAATGCCCTCTATACTAGCCAGAGTTGGTGTATTTTTTTATTTTTGAAAAAAAAAACAAAAAAAATTGTTTAAACTGTTATTTTCTGTTTAAAACCAAATAAATTGTTTGAGTTTTAAACAGTATATTTAAAATAACTTAATTTTAGTTTTAAAAATATGTCTTTTATGTTGGTATTGTTATAATTACTATTTATTTACAAAGATATTATGTTCGAGAAAATTACTTAATATTTTTATTTTGTGAACATGTATTTTCAAATTAATTTCTTGACATCGGAGAAACCTACTGGCTACTATAAAGACTTAAGGGTTCCGGTGCCAGTTTTTACACAATTCTATAAAATTTGAAAATTAAATTCCCACCTCAATTATAAGACTTTTCCACTAATCTACTACCCGATACTTATGTAGGTTGGTTGATAGGGTGTATAATATCGAAAAAAATTACTTTACGGGAATAACTCTCAAGCTTTGTAGAATTGCCGGATTTTGATGACAATTTTTTTATCTGAAAGAAGAAGACTTCTTACAGCCCTCATCGATCTCTGATTTTGTATTTTATTTCAAATAATAAAGTTGTATAAAAAATTTTTTAAAAAAATGCTTTTTATCTTGTTTTTTTTTAGACATATTATAAAGTTTGAGAATAAAATATTAAAACACAGAGATCGATACGGGCTGTAGAATATAAAACCCTCTAGCAATTGAAAAACAATTATGAAATTTGGTTGATTCTACAAGGCGGTATCGTTATTTCCACAGAGTGTATTTTTGAGGACAAAAAGGGCGCCTTAAGACAGACGACGACGGCACAGTGCGCAGCTATTATTCGATATAATTGTTGTATTATTTTTGATTTGTAGCTAGGTGGTGTAATCCAGGGCTGTAGATGAATAATATTTCTGTTAAATTACTGCAATTACTGTAGATTATTAATTGTAAATAGATAATTCAGACTTCTTTTAAATTATATTAATATTTCATTGGGGAGGGTGAAGAGCTTTAAAAAATACATACTTGGCTTTTTTTGATCCATTAATAAAATAGCACCGTTTATTAGCTAGAATGCCGTTGCGGTTAAAGTTTAGTCACGCCTATGGATAATAACAAGGATAATAACAATGTTATAGAGTTAATTTTCTGAAAATGTTGACCTTTCAACACTTTATTTTCATTAATCTTATGATTTTTAATTATTTTTTTGGTTTATAGAAAAACAGCAAAACAACGGTTTTTGTCCTTGCGGAGAGTCCCCCTCTACGGCTAATGTTTTAGATCGATCTATTAAGGTTAACCGTGTCGATTTGAATTCAAAATTTGAGTAGGTCATTAATTTATTCGTAATTTATAGACATATATTTCATATTTTAATGAATATCTCGTCAACAGATAAGAAAATTGAAATATGTTACTATTAATATATTTTAAATAAAATAAAAAGTTCTACCTATTAATTATTATGTTTTTACATACTTCTTCTTATTTCTAATTATTTATACTATACAGGGTGTCCCGTGAGGATTTACTCATTGCGATATATCCTGAAATAATAGAGATATCGTAATTCTGTTTTCTTATTAAGACTCACAGAGGTAAGCACTACAAATAACTATTTTTTATTTTTTTTTTATGTTTTGGTAAAAAAGTTAAAAAAATTATTTTTTTAATTAATTATTTAAAAAAATATTGAAGATTGGCATTTTGTAGAGTTCATTTTTCTGAAAATATTGACGTTTCAACATTTTAATTTCATTAATTTCCTGATTTTTAATAATTTTTTTAATTAATAAATAAAACGGCAAAAAACCGGTTTTTGTCCGGGCGGCGAGTCCCCCTCTACGGCTAATAGGTAAATCCTCACGGGACACCCTGTATATACCTACTTACTGTTACTTTGATATATACAAATATTTTATTTTTTTTTGAACCTATTCAATTATTTAGGTATTTTTTTTAAATACCTACATCATACATTAGAATGGACTCATTAAAATTGTTTTTTGATCGTTTCTTTTTACAATCGGCTTATATTCGTATGTGGTATATAACACTAAGTCACTAAGTATAAGAACAACTCTGACTTTTCATCTTTATAAAGATATACTATAATACTATACTAGGTGATTCTTTTATCAAACAACACTCATTATTTCAAAAAGTGTAAATTTTTTTGAAGATATTTTTTTACATAGTTTCAAGTCGCTTATAAAACAACGTTTTTATTAAAAAATTATATTTTTAATTATTTTTTATCCTTATTATTTTTTAAGTTTTTTACTTTTTTGAATGACAACATAGGGTTTTAATTTTATATTCTAAAGTAGAATATTTTTCTTAGTATTTTGATACATGAAAATTGAATTTGGGGCGAGTAGTTTATGAGTTATAAGTAATTAAAGTTTAAACGAGCGGTGAAGTGGACAAATATTTCGCGGGGTAACCCCGAACCACTCCACTCCGCTCGTCTAAACTTTAAATACTTATAACTCATAAACTACTCAACCCAAATTCCATTTTCATGTATCAAAATACTAAGAAAAATATTCTGCTTTGGAATATAAAATTAAAACCCTATGTTGTTATTCAAAAAAGTAAAAAACTTAAAAAATTATAAGGATAAAAAATATTTAAAAATATCATTTTTTAATAAAAACGTTGTTTTATAAGCGACTTGAAACTATGTAAAAAAAATATTTTCAAAAAAATTTACACTTTTTGAAATAATGAGTGTTGTTTGATAAAAGAATAGCCCAGTATAGTTATACTTCCATGAAAATTTTCCGTAATTTTAACTGTTCTTTCTGCATTCTGCTATATCATTTACCATGCTTAGTGAATATTGAGGATACAATAATTTATTTTCCATATAAATTATTAATTTAGTAGTGAGTTAAATCTATCTCCAGTATTTTGAGTTTAAGGAAAAAAAATATCAATATACTCAGAATAAAATTGAGAAGTGGAAAATGAATCATTGCAATTTGTAATTTTGCTTGTATATATTTCATCTGAAGCAAGACGGAAAACGATACAATTATAGAATAAAGCTAGGTAGTATATATATAATAAAAGTACCAAATTAACATAATAAATATTGTATTTAATATACTCAAGGAGTACCTATAATAATGACTTTATGCTTACCTATATAGTTAAATAAAAAAAATGTCTAACTACTTAGATTTGTGTGACATTGTTAGTTATCAATAACAACAAGTATTTGTATACTTTTTTTATAATATGTATATATTACAGTGACACAGTGTAAAACAAAGAAAAACTACGGAGATTGGTGGGGATTTGCACCCGATATATTATATAAAGTTCAAACTTTCAAAGCCACCGAAGTAATAGGAAACATATTATGATATAAATATCTAACAACGATCAATATTTACCACCCTCGCACTCACTTTACCATACTATAGGACGTACTGATTAGTAATTTATACTATTTAATTATTAAATTATTTAGCCAAACAGGAACCAATAGGTATAATTATAGATTACCTACCTACTTATTATGACTAGAATATAACATGTGACATACCTACCAATATAGCATACAGTCATATGTTGTAAATGTTGTTTAATGTAAAAGGACAAAAAGAATAACAGCTCCGCTTTTAAGTTCAAGACATAACGAGGTTTTATAATGACAGAACAAAAAAAAAAAAACGTTATAGTATTCACACATTTAGGTTAAGTGTACACAACAAGATTACAACAGAAAGGTGATAACAAAAGTGATAACAATTAACAACACTTCCACTTAATCTTGTAACTACAAACATTAATTAAAAATTTCAAGTATACATATAACATAGGTAAAATAATAATAATAAATAAACATAATGTAAAACAAATAACAATATTATACTTGACTATTGACTAATTTAATATAAACCATAAAAAAAAATAATCTTAGTATTCATTGACACCAATAAGTTTCTTCAGTCTCATAAATGTTGAAGCCGACAGTGGTTTAGTAAGAATGTCAGCTAGCTGATTTTCTGATGGAACATACTCCAATTTTATTTCATTGTTGGCAATTGATTCATTAATGAAATTGTACTTGGTATCTAGATGTTTAAGTCTTTGATGTTTTCTTGGCTCTTCAGCAATTTTGATGCAGGATTGATTGTCTTCATACAAAACAATTTGTTCATCTGCTCCTATAACGCACATTTCAACAAGTAAACCTTTGAGCCACATAGCTTCTTGTATAGCTGATGCCAATGCTAGATATTCAGCCTCTGTTGAGGAGATTGCTACTGTTGATTGCTTTCTTGTAGACCAGCAAACTGTGGATCCATATATTTGAAATAAGTATCCAGAGGTAGATTTCCTATCGTTGATGTCATTAGCGAAATCTGCATCAACAAATCCCCTTAGTGGACTTACTTCTTTACCCTTTTTATAGATAAGACCAAAATCAGTAGTACCCTTCACATAGCGTAGTACTCTTTTGAGTTGAATGTATAAACTGTCTGTCGGTTGAGACTGATATCGACTAAACAAGTTCACTGCAACGCTTAAATCCGGTCTTGTTTGAATCATTACATACATTAGACAGCCAATTAACTCGCGATAAGGTTTATTAGTTGCCTCTCCATTTTCTGTATTAAGTTTGGTTTCCATAGGTGTCGATATTGGCTTGCAGTCTTCTATTGAAAATTTCTTCAGCAACTTTTCCAAATAATGAGTTTGACTAATTTTCATAGAGTCTTCAGTA